AATCACTTTGCATCGTCACAGTGTATGAATATGATTTCCCATGAATACTTAGATGGTAATGGATCACTATGTGAGTCGTTATAACCATGCATAATAATGACTAGCTCGCATGTCTTGGCATTTTTCCAAACGCCGGTTTTGATCAAGATTTTGTCACCCTAGACTGGCCGAGTCTAACTGTAGCGAACAGCTCAAGTGTGGGGGAGTCACCCCCGTATAGATCTATACACAAACTCTCGCTCTCCCTCCAGGAGTCTCTGATTATAACTACAGGCTACGGCCGACACTTATTGGTGCCGCCCGTTATTTCTCACTAAATCCCAATGAAATTGAATAACATTGTTTTACAACCCGATTGATGTTTACGTTGATATAAAGTAAGCCTAACAGGCACGAAAGAAGACAATAGGGTCCACTGATTGTGTATGTTATTATAGACTGTCGAGTATGCTACGGACACATTATAGCCCATTAAGCATATGATGAACGTTTAGGGCCATATTAGCAATGCAATTGGGCCACTTCGGCCCAATAGCATGTTAAAGCTGATAAAGGCTCGTTGGGCATGTAATTGGATCACCAAGACCCAATAAACATGTTTGAATATATTGAGCCCAATAATCATGATATTGGGCCACAAAGACCCAATAGCACGAATAGAAGATTTTGGCCCAATCATTGAATCATTTATAGTTTATCAATTTTAAGTTCGTAGTGTAGGTATTTGTTGTATGCTAAATGTTTATTCGCAATGTTAAAAATACTTTGACGTTTGATTTATAACGAAGCTTTGGTTATATATATATATATATATATATATATATATATATATATATATATATATATATATATAAACATTTTTAAAAACCATGCGTTATAAACTTAATATTTTAAACCCAATAATTTAATATTAGCCTATTTGGCCCAAAAATATTTATTTTGACCATTCCAGCCCCTTTATCTATAAAATTTGCACTTTTAGTCCCTTTTTATGAAAATCGACATTTTTGGTCCTTAAACCATTTTTCTTGACATTTTCGACCCAAACTTTATTTAAATAATAATTTCAGCCCAAAACTATTGTATTTGCCATTTCCAGTCCTTATTTGTAAAAAGTTTACACTTTTGGCTCAAATTCCGTAAGTTTTACAATTTTGACCCCAAAATCAAAAACTTTGCAATTTTAGTCAAATTTTTGCATCAAAGTCATTTTCAGCCCCTGAAATAGTTTATTTACGTTTTAGACTCATATTTTGATAAATTTACAACTTCAGCCCCCAAAACTCTTCATTTTTCGCAATTTTGGGCCCAAAAACCCGTGAGGCCCAAATATAAGCCCAATAAGCTATAATTTATGTTTTTGACCCCTTGAAAAGTGTTATTTTCATAAAAGTCAGATTTTTATGTAAATAATACTATTTTATCCTTATAAAACCGAAAATATCATATTTTACCCAAATCTTTGTTATTTTTGCAAAAATGACACTTATAAATATTTTTGGCTTTGTTTTCACTTGTTAAGCCTAAAGACTCTTAGATCTTTGAAGTATGTTGTTTATTATGTTATTTGTTTATGTATCATTCACACTTTAGCCATAGATCTCGAGATATAACAAATAATATCACATTTTCACAACACAAACCAAAGAAATCACATATAACATGCACACACACAAAGATCAACATATTTACTTGTATTCTCCGCCCAAAAACAAGTAAAAACCGAAAACAAAGGGGGTATGAACTCACCTTGCTTAGTTGCTCACGGTTTTGAAGAAGAAATGGAAGAGCTTGATGTGATTTTCGGCCCTAGTAAGCTTTTTGAGAGGACTTTGGTTTAGATGGATTCTAAGGAGTAGATCACGAATTTGCATGAGTTAGGAGGAGATTTTTGATGTAATAAAGAAACTAAGCCATGGATCTAAGTAACAACTTACCAAGGATGATGATTTTTATGGAAAAACCTTCTTGAAATGCCCTAGATCTCGAAATTTTTGAGAGGAAATGAGGGGTTGTTGTTGTGAGTGTTTGAGAGAAAATTCAAGTGAGGTGTGTGTGTGTGTGTGATCCTCGGCCGAAGACAAGAAGAAGAGAGGGAGGAGAGAAGTAGTGAGGTGATAGATGCATGGGGAGGTGGGAACCTTGCATGGATATCCATGAGATAAATATTAGGTGTCTAGCTCTTATTAATCTACATATTTTCTCTTTTTTTTGTATTGGGCCGAAATGGGCTAAAGAAAGAGGAAAGGAATCACTTTGGCCCATTCTTGGTCTTGCTCGAAAGTGTGAAGTCTCTATACAAGTTTTCGGCCCATTGGGCCTTTAGGGTAGTTCACGGCCCAATGAAATCCAATTGGGAGAGGGTTTACGGTCCAATAAGGAATTTAATTCACTTATGGCCCAATAAGGCCCATCAGTGTAAAATGATCCATTTTAGACCCATAAGGCCCAAAAGGTTAAGTTTCATGAAAGTGGGTCCAATTAAGGCCCATTTAAGGGTTCCAAGTCCAAAATAGTCAAATTGGAAGCTTATTGGCCCATTAGGCCCAATAAGGAAATCCTAGTCCATAACGGAGTTAAACCAGGATTTTTTAGGGTTTCCAATCTTTCGTTGACCATTTGAAGTGTTTGTATAGAGTTTTTGATGTAATTTTGTTGTCATTGAATAAACATCATGCATGCTTCCAGATTTTGCTTACAATTTTGACCTTGATAATGATTACAAAAGCATAGAATTTCCTGGTTGTGACATGTTGTATGTGGTATTGTGGGAAACTCATTAAGTTTTGTGCTTACAATTGTTGATTATATGTATTTCAGGTACTTCTGAGGATCGTGGGAAGGAGAATGTCTGATTGTACACACTCGTTAGGAGATTTGTTACTGGGGCATTTTGTGATACTCTTATATTTTGTGATGATGATTTGTATTTTACACTTATGTTTTTCCGATGACTTGGTTTATGAACAATATTTTAGGTAATTTAAAAATGAAAATTTTGGTTTAAATTTGAGGTGTTACATAAAGCCTATGCTTTGTCCAAATTTCTTGCTTTTCACACGTTTTACTTTAATACTTTCTATCACTTGTTTTCACGATGAGAGATGGTGCGCCCTAAATATTATTAGTGTTCCACAAGTTACCCCCGACGTGATGGGCCTTGGGGTAGGTTTGGTGTGGGTTGCCCAAATGGTGTGCATTACCTTGTTTTGTTTACCTTCTATCATTTGCGCTTAAAGTTAAATTGCATTGATATATAGTATAAGAGCACCATTGTGAACCACTTTGCTAGCCAATACTCTTTTTTTCTTGTTTTTGGTTTACGTCCATATAAGTTTATTTGATTGGTTTGTTCATCATCTCTAAATTTTCTTTTCTCATCAATGCATTCCAATATCTAGTATAAGACCATAATTTTGAACCATTTTACTTACCAATACATTTTTTTTCCTTTGGATTATCCATCAGGTCTTCCACATACCATATACCTTTTATTTCTAAGAAAAAAAAGAAAATCATGTACAAGAATGTACTAAAGATGAAGTCTTCGACACCAACATATAGATATAATATAACCAAATTAATTATCAATTAATTTTTTAGATATATTTCTTAATTTAAATTGCATGATAAAATATATTCTCTAGTTTTTCGGTTGGGAATGTAATAAGGATGAAAACATGTTGTTATTACATGTACCCGAATGATAAGTAAGTTGCTATAACTAGAGCTTCATAGAGATAATGTGAATTGAATTCTATTTTCATATGTAGTGTATGCCATGCGCAAACCATAAATACAAATCAACAAATTTTAAATGCACATAATGCGACACTAATGGACGATTATTTATATTTATGATCGAGTTCAACAAATTTATCCTTAGTGATTAGACTTAGGGGATGTTTAACAAAACCAAACCATTTAGTGTCAAATGATTCCAACCTCTTAATGGTTAAGAGAACGTCATGTTCCTTAAGCATTCAGAAGTTTTTGATTTGTTCAATGGTTGTATCAAACACTATGAATGTTGACCTATTTAGATGTGACCTCTGAAAGGTTTCATTCAATTGTTATCAAACAATCTGTCAATCTAATTAAAGATAATGTTAAACAATGAATCCTTAGCGTGTGTTTGGTTCAATGAATATTTTTGGGAGGAATAGAAATTTGTGAACCAAACACGCCCTTAGTAAATGGACTAGACTAAAGATTAAAGTGTGTTGTTATCATTTGTAGTTAAACTAAAAGTACAAACATTGTTATTACTTGAACTTAATCTAACCAATTAAAGATATTGCTAAACAAGTTCAAACAATTCATAAGTTCAAAAAACACAATCTTAGTGACTAGACAAGACTAAAGATGAAAGTATGTTGCTATTTTTGATTGCTTTTCACCTGCACAAAGTTCAACCCAAATAATCCCACAAAAGCTCGAACCTCTGATTTGATTTCCAAACCATGAAGGTCTAAAAGCCTATCATGGTCTGTATGGTTACTATTTAGGGTCCTATTAAAGCATGAGTCAGGCCAAACCGAAGACATTAGATTCAACTCCTAGTGGAGACGATGGCGAGGTAACAAAATAGCCAAATTGGATAAAGACACAGTTATCTTTTCATTTTCCATTTGACTTCTTTTCTTTATTTCTCAAAGCAAGATCATACAACTTCTAGATTACACTTTTGCTATTGGATCAAAATTAATAATCATCCTTTGATAAAAGTAAAAATTTTAATACATTTTTTTGGACATGTCGACCCGACCGGCCCACCATAACATCATCCCCGGACCTGGACTTTGATGTACATGTTTCGGTTGTCAATGACTAAACATAACACGTTATACACGTTTGTTTATTTTTAATGATTCTAACTACTTATTGATCTAAACACTTTTATATTATATTCCAATGTTCTTGGACCTTGGTAATTATTAAAAGCAATAAATTATTTAATGCTTAATTTCTTATTCATTCAACGCCAAACTCCCAATCAAGTATAAACAAACATTGACATGAGGAATACATGGTTTGCCATTTATTCGCAAGTAAAGTAACCCATCAAATGTAACGTGTCCTGCTCACGACAAAAGGGGGAGGCCTTTAAGTAAAAGTCGGAAAGGTCAAAATCCATTTTCAACCGCTGTAACACAAGACTTCCATCTTCACTGCCATGTGACATGTGAGAGAGATCTAACCAAACACAGAATTCAACATGACGCTCTTCTCTTATCTAAACAGAGCTTGTAATGGCTTCCCTTCTTCCTCTAAGCTTCTCGTCGTTTTCTCTCTCAGGTTCTTTCTCAATTTCACTATTTTCTGTAATTTTTATTTTACCGGATCAAGTGTAACACCTCCTCAGAATTAGGTTTTCTTCTTTTTGCATCTGTTGATAATTCGGTTTAAATTTTCGATAATGTTGCTATATCATATATATGATCGAATTAGTGTCTAGATTTGAGCTGATTATCCAGCTAGATCAGGTGATTTTCGACATGCGTATCTATGTATTCTCTTGTTCACTTCATTTCATAGATTTTAATACTTGTAGCTGAAACGATCATAAAATCTACCCATATCTTTACAATCGCAATGCTATAGTGCAATCTTAAATGATATTCAAGTATTGAAATTCTGTTAGGTCGTTCTTTTCATAATTTGAATATGCATTTGATTATTGTTGTATGTTGATATCTGCAGTAGTGGGGGCCTTGTTGCTTACTCTGAATCACAATCAAGCAGTGCTCCAAAAAACACAGAACTTGAAAAATTACCAAAAAAGAAAAAGGTGGTTGTACTTGGAACAGGATGGGCTAGTATAAGTTTCCTTAAGGATTTGGATATTTCTTCATATGATGTTCAAGTGGTTTCTCCTAGAAACTATTTTGCTTTCACTCCTTTGTTACCTAGTGTTACATGTGGAACAGTTGAAGCACGTAGCATCGTGGAGCCCATTCGTAACATCATTAAAAAGGTAATTAACACGTGTTCTTAAATTAGAAACATGTATGATCTATTGATCTAACTTTCCAAATTTGATAACTTTTGTTACTTGTTCTTGATAGAAAAAGGGAGAAATTCAGTTTTGGGAAGCAGAATGCACCAAGATTGATGCAGCAAACAAGAAAGTATCTTGTCGATCCACCATTGAAGCAAACATGGGAAAAAAAGAGTTTTCTATTGATTATGACTATTTGGTCATTGCAACGGGCGCAGAAGTAAATACCTTTAATACCCCTGGTGTCAAGGAGCATTGCCATTTTCTAAAGGTGACAATCTTTTTTTAGATATTCAAACTTCAAAGTTAATGTATTGTTTTGCTAAAAATGGCATGAACTACTTAACAGGAAGTTGAAGATGCTCAAAAGATTCGTACAAGTGTAATAGATTGTTTTGAAAATGCTATCCTCCCAGGGTTGACAGAAGAAGAACGAAGAACAAACCTTCACTTTGTAATAGTAGGAGGGGGGCCCACAGGAGTAGAATTTGCAGCAGAACTACATGACTTTGTTCATGAAGATTTAGCAAAATTATATCCCATGGTTGAAGATAAGGTTAGAATAACCATCATCCAATCTGGTGATCATATTTTGAACACGTGAGTATTACATATCTCATCTGATCATCTCATTTATGTATTTGAAACTTAATACTTGAATTTTGTGTTGTTATGTTGATAGGTATGATAGTAGAATCAGCTCATTTGCTGAAACAAAATTTGCTAGGGATGGTATTGATGTAAATACTGGATGCCGGGTTATAAGTGTAACTGATAAGGAGGTCAACATGGAAGTCAAAGCCACGAGTGAAAAAGTATCCATACCTCATGGAATGGTTCTTTGGTCAACTGGTGTTGCGACCCGACCCGTTGTGAAGGACTTCATGGACCAAATTGGACAGGAAAAAAGACGGGTTTTAGCTACAGATGAATGGTTGCGAGTTAAGGGATGTGACGATGTTTATGCTATCGGTGATTGTGCCACACTGGTTCAACGAAAAGTCATGGTATTGACTATTGTCCCCATAACCTAATTCACCGATAAATTATATCTGTTTGGAAAATGGCCTCAAAGATTCCCAACAACCTCTCCAGCGAAAAATAATTTAGAAAATTGAACACAAGAATATTCGTGGAAAGTCCAAAACCGGAGAAAACCAAGAAAGTAAAATTCATTATATGATAGATTATTACAATCACATAGACAAATCTCTCAAATCTATCAAACAAGAGAAGAAACCTGGCAAATTCATTCATTTATATTAGCCAACATATCTCAATATTAATTTTACATCGTATGGTATCTGTTGTAGTCGGATATTGCTGCTATATTCAAGGCAGCTGACAAGGATAACTCAGGCACACTAATTGTGGAGGAATTTCAGGATATTATTGATGACATATTAATTCGTTATCCCCAAGTGAATCTCCATTTGCAGAGTCAGCATCTTTCGAGTGTGACAGATCTTTTAAAAGATCCACAAGGAAATGCAAGGAAGGAAGTTGATATTGAAGACTTCAAATTAGCTCTTTGTCAGGTAGATTCTCAAATGAAAAGTCTCCCTGCAACAGCTCAGGTAATCTTTTAACCTTTTTTTTTTTTTCTTTCAACATTTTTATTTAAAGTAAAAGAGATAAGAGGGATAACTGCGTTATTTGACTGGAATCTTGTAAAAGGTTGCTGCACAACAAGGGACATATTTGTCAAGTTGCTTCAACAAGCGGGAGTTGGCTAATTTTCAACCAGAAGGCCCTCTCCGGTTTAAGAGTGAAGGGAGACATGAATTTATTCCATTTAGGTATAAGCATTTGGGATCATTTGCACCTTTAGGTGGTGAACAGGCTGCAGCTGAACTCCCGGGAGATTGGGTTTCAGTGGGTCGAAGCACACAGTGGCTTTGGTACTCTGTTTATGCAAGGTAATCCAAGTTTTCCCTCACTATTTGTCTCTAGAGAGAAAAATCCACTATATAATAAATTGTTACTTTCATTTTCAGCAAACAAGTGAGCTGGAGGACAAGGGTGTTGGTTGTATTTGATTGGACAAGGAGATACATTTTTGGTAGAGACTCGAGTCGAATTTGAATCATGTGGGCTTTCACATTGGGTTAACTTGTTGGATGGATATAAAATGGAAGCAAAAGTGTTGTGTGTTGTGTGACAACTTTCCTCGTTGACCCTCACAAGCTGAAATGTCAAGATGTTTTCGTGTTTCTTATGTAAATGTCAAACCAGGATCTGTCAAAAAATATGATATTTACTGATGTCTGTTTCAGCAACGTTCATGTTTTTCCATTTTAAGTTCGAATACATTTTTGTTATTGTGATTTTTATATAATCACGAAGACTTGTTTGTTATGAGAAAATGAGTTCTTTTAGTTTTTTTTATTACATTCTTTAACATGTGTAAACTGTTGAACAATACTGCAACATTGTCATTTAATCTAAACACAAAGAAAACTGGAACATTGTCATTTAATCTAGGGTTATCAATGATCATGATAGAGTGAAGAACTAAAACTAAATATATAACGATCTATTAAGTTTGAAACCTCAAGATTATTAAAGTCAAATGGAGTTTAAATAATATGTAATATTTCTATAAATCATATTCTAGTATAAACATAAAACCTAAAACCTAAATTCATAAATCATAACTACGGTTGACGAATATTTTCTAAACTAGTTCCATTTCTCAAAAAAAAAAAAAAAAAAAAAAAAAAAAAAAATCAAAAACAAAAAACAAAAAAAAGACTGTCGAACTATAGTTGACATTCAGCTACGAGTGTTTGGTAGAAGAAAGAAATCAAAGTATTTAGCAGAGATAAAGAAAAGTGAGCATTAACCGATTTCGTTTCCATTCCCACATCGATGTGAATAGAAAGTTCTTCGTAAAAATCTAATATATAATTAATTTTTTATTTATTCAAAAATATATCACCAAAAGTATCTCCTCGAAACCTTTAAAACACTCTCCATATTAACCATAACTTTTAAATTCTTTTTTCAACAATTTACACAATTGTAAAAGCGAGATTTTCGAAAGGAATGGGGAGTAACTTGCAATTTACGAAAACTTGGAAACCATATAAACTCCTGCACTTTCTCAAGTCTTTGGCGGTGGTTGAATCATACATAAAAGGAGCAACCGACATTGAATCGTGAAAAAAGAAATTGAATTTACGAAAGGTTCTGCAACATCTGGAGGAGTAAGTGAGTGTTGTTAATCAGAATTAATACACAGATTTTGTAGAGAAATCATGTTGGGTTCAGTTCATAGACAGAAAAAGAGAAGAAAAAAGGTATATATTGTTTTAAGTTTCATACTTGAATCTTCGAGAGAATGATTCCAATTACCCAAATATCATAGTTTATCAATTACCTCACGAAAAACTTGTAAACAAATTCCAGTTTTCAAAAGTATTTGACAATCTCTTTTTTCAGTTTACAGTTCTGAATCAAAAGATTTCGTTTCACATCCCACATCGGTTGGAGTAAAAAGTCTTCTCACTGTTTTATACATCAAATGGACATCAATTATCGCCGAGCTTGGTAACGCGAGCTTATGACTCAAGTGAGGGCTTTAAAGTGGGTTGGACTGAGATTGAGCCAAGTTTGGTTGGGTTAAGCTGTTGCAAAATCTGGCTTGCCCGTTCCAAGTTCGGAGTTGGATCATGTGGCTCGAGCGAAGGCTTGGGCTTCATGGTTCCTAGAGCAGAGGGCAACGCGTTAGGCTGGCTTTACAGAGCTGCGAATACTTCTCGCTTTGAACAGTGGAAGGATAACAAGCCGGTGCTCTCTTAGCCTATAATAACCAGCCTGGCTCCTTCTAATGGACTCCCACTTTTTTTTTGGATATGGCTGTAATCCTTTCATGCTTAATTTAAGATTATCAATCTTTACGACATGTGAAATGGTGGCTCCGGTGGGAGTGGGACCCATTTAATAAGTTGTTGGCAACAAACAAAAGGGAAAATTGAATTTGAAGATTAAAACACTATGGATCTACGGATGATTTGATGACGCAAAATTTTCCCTACAAAATCAACCGATGGTAGTTAAGCTCTTTACTTTCTTATTATATCTATGAAACTCTTAGATCCAACACAAATATATTCTTTTATTATGATATTATGATTTGATTTTAGCCTTCCCTGTTATGGAAATGATTCTTATAATTGTTTTTGGCCAAGATTGTGCAAACAAAGATGCATAGATCCATACAAGAGTCAAGTTTTATAATTTGCATATAACCACTTAAAGAAATTCATCATATGGCCTACCTTAAGGGAAAAACAAAATAAACATTAATATTTTTCTAAACGATGTCCGGGTCAAATAAGTCTAATTTCTAGCTTCGGGTCATAACCTAAATTGATATTCGAATGACTTTTGTATGCAAATGGTCATCATACCCCTAGATCATGTAGTGTAATTCAGTCAAATGGTCATCAGTGAGAAACCTCCTATTCATAAGGTAATTCTTTTAATCCGGTCACGAAGTTATCATGTTTTGTACATGATTATAAAAGTTTTAAGTTTTAGTGGATTCTGATTCATGTCATTTTAAGATAAAAATAAAATATCGTATGTAATGTCGGATTTTTTATTTAGCAACCGTTCCATGAAAATCTCAAAGTGTTTTATGCCTCTATGCTTTTGTAAGCTACCCATGCCGTTGTAGATTTTAGTTTTTGCTTACTTTTTTTATTGGTCTTCTTTTGTGTTCTTAATACGTTAATTTGTATATAGTTGTTTCTTTTTTATTTATTGTTAACAAGAATTCATGTTGCCCCCGTAACACATGTAAAAGCTTGAACTACGATTAGAAGCGCTATAAACGCTACACCATAAGTAAGAAGATTATTTAAAAAAATGTGATGTTTGTGGTTCAAGTAACACCCCGCTAATGGGGTATGGGCGGCAGCCCACATAATACCAGGCTAGCCAACGAACCCGACCTGGTAACATAGCCACAAATACAGGAACGATACCGAGCATGTATAGCAAGAATCCCCATCAAACACAGAAAATGCAAACCTATTTTATTAAAAAAGAGTCTTACCCTTACGACCTAAGGACCAACGCAAGACCCAAAAGAAGAGACCACGAACTGGTCTCAGCCCTAATTATAAAACATGGTTCTTCTAACATACATTTTATCAACTTTGTGCAGCGTGTTGCCTGGACTACTCATTGGAGGGATAGCCAGACAAGCACTCGGGGACTCCACGTAGCAACATTGGCACCATCCATATATAACAATGCAAGAAAACAACAAACAGCTCACCCGACTAAAGATACACCTTTCAACCCAATCAATTTAATCCTCATTTTCACACTAACAACATCAACAGCTCCGACCGTCGAACCCAACAACACACCCCCTTCCCACTCGACCAGACAAAGGAAATGATATGGAAGCCAACAAACTAACAATGAGAATAACTAAAAATCCAGGAAACGGTTGGTGGTTCAAGCGCGACAGAAGGAAATGCATATAGAAGACCTACAAGGCTTACTACTCACATGAAACGGTCCAAAATCCAAGGTTGAAATTTTCATTTTTATTATAATCAAAACACTATTGTAACTTTGTTCTAATCATTAAAAAGTATTTCAATTAGCACAATTATCAGAGTTCAATCCCAAAGATCACATATTGCGGAAAACACGGGTTTATGCGCTGTGATCGTCCCGAACTCTTCCATTTGAAAACTGGAGTACCTGAAACATAACTGAAAACCGTAAGCACAAATCTTAGTGAGTTCCCCAAATACCACATACCATACAAGAACATACAATAAACATATAGTGGGCCCGCCCGTCATCGGACCCCGTCCGGCATCGGGCCCCGCCCGGATACTACCGAGCATATTTGGGCGCTGGCCTCCACTTCGGTCTATTTCAACCGGATACTGCCGAGCATATTTGGGTGTTGGCCTCCCCTTCGGCCTATTTCAACCGGATACTACCAATCATATCTAGGTGCTGGCCTCCCCTTCGGTCTATTTCAACCAGATACTACCGAGCATATCTGGGTGTTGGCCTCCCCTTCGGTCTATTTCAACCGGATATTGGGTATATTTCACCCCTACCACTACCACATAATAACATACGCAAATAATCACATAGATACATAGCATACAGATATCCATCAGGCCCCGCCCGGCATCGGGCCTTGACCCGAAAAAACATATAAACACAGCACATGCAAGATTCACGGAGACAACTAGCATACTAACAACATAATGTAAACATGGGCCGGCCTTGGTGCCTTCGACCCACTAAACCCAGTAAGGAAACTCACCTCGAGTGCAGAAGCTCACTGAAAGAAATCCCTAGCTGTCGCCCTGACGACACCTCCAATCTAACAGATCAAAATAACACTGTAACATCCCGTTGTTTTCTACTTGTAAGTCAACCCTAGTCAACCAAAGTCAAACTTGGGTCAACTAAAGTCCTCTTTATTGTTTGGATCTTTATTAAGGTTAGAATAATAACCTTTGCATGTTAAAACTCTAAGAATATTAGGTGTTTAAGAAGGGAATAAGTTAGAACCGAGAAACCTCGCATCTTTTTCTTCTTTCTTTCCTTCGGACCGCAAACCACCTCGGACCGCACACACACTTCGGGCCACAAACGGTTCACGACCATGAACCCTTCTCGGCCGTGAACCCGAGGATCTTATCTCCTCAGGAAGTGTTTACCGCCGAAGTCTCTTTTGTGTCTGTGTGTATATATATATATATATATATATATATATATATATATATATATATATATATATATATATATATATATATATATATATATGGAGAGGATCAAATGAGAACACCTAAAAGGTTGAGAACGCGAGAACAGTTCTGGACCAATCATTTTATAAGGGTATATTAGTAACTTTATATAAATATTAATTAATGATTTTCTAAAATCTAGGGATAATGATTTTAATTACCTAACAAAATCAATATTTCCTTTTAGTTAATGAAATATATATATAGATATATATATATATATATATATATATATATATATATATATATATATATATATATATAAATATTTTTTTATGATGTTTCCCAAAAATTATTTATGACCGTTTCAAAAAAATCACCTAAAAAAATTAATATTTCCTTTTATTTTAAATCTGAAAAGAAAATCTTAAAAAAAATATTATTTTCTACTATTTCACGTTTTTGTTTTTTAAAAAAAAAAAAGAATAGAAATCCAATCCCAAATCAATACACTTCCAATCATAAATGAAAACACATCAAATTACAAATAATTCAATGCATTTTTCATAAATT